ATGGATGGATGGATGGATGGATGGATAAATGGATGGATGGATGGATGGACGGATGGATGGATGGATAAATGGGTGGATGGATGGATGGATGGATGGATAGATAGATAGATAGATAGATAGGGGAAGAGTGAGAGAAAGAGAGAGATGGACGGGGAGAGACAGAGAGAGAGAGATTCCATCCTACTGGTTCTATTTTCCTACTCTTTGGTGGAATATTGAATGATACATCAAATGACTGAGGTTTTGCTTGAGTTTTCCCCTGCCAGGGATAACTTCATATCAACTATGACCTTCTGGAAACAATGCTTAAGATCATCAATTGCCTTTATGGTTTAGTACTGTCATTGTAAATAAAATCTGAGCTATTGGTACTCACACCTTGACAAGATGCCTTTGCCCTCTCCTGCTTCCACATCCTCCTTTTGCACTGGCTTGTGGACTTGTTGTCCCTGCTAAATGTATCAACTGGGACAGGAACAGTAATATTTCAGCTGGCACATATAACCTGACTCAGTAAACTGGTGCTGATACGAGATACTCACACGTGCTGTCAAAATAGAGGTGCTGCTTAGAACCCTGGGGTCTTAAAGTAGTTCCGCTCCACAAAGCCCTCGCAGCCAAATCATCTGGACTCTTTTTAAAAGAAAGGGGCCTCCTAGACCCCCATCTCAGCTCTCCTAAGTGTCTTACAGAAGGCCACATTTGTACAAGCTCACGACACCATACTCAGATGCCCTAAGTTTAAAACCCAGTACCTGAGGGATTCCTTAGAGAGACCGCCGGACGGTTGTAGCTTTCCGTGTTTTAAATTTGGGGATTCTGGAATAGATTGTACTTGAGAACTCTCTATTAAAGCTATAAGAACTCAAAAGTTTAGAATGCTCTGAAGCAACCTGTGGTAGGTTGAATTATCGACCCCAGTCCCAGTTGTCTCCTGTCCCACATCTTGTCATGGCCTCTTCATGGACAGAGCACGTGTCCACACTCCTCACCTCTGGGACTGGTTATGTGACTTGGTTTTCACCAACGACAGTGGGAAGAGTTGATCTGCTGACCCTCCGCGTAAAGTATCATCGTGGTGTATACAGCTAAATGATACACAGCCCCGGTTCCCTAATTTTATCGATGAGGAAACTGAGGACCTATGAAGCCAAGTGACTTTCCTAAGAAGCCTTAACCTGAAGGAATAACTCAAAATGGTAGGACTTTCACGGCAGACCGGAAGACGGACGCGTTGAGAAAGAGGTTTCCAACATTCCTCCTTCTAATCACACAAGTACCAGCACCCTTAGGTTGACGTACCTTCGGAGCAGCAGCATGAGACGCCTCCAGAAAACGTCACCATGTCCTGAAGTTCAGCGGGACGCCCTCACACTCTTCACACTCGGGGACTTGGTGTTCCTCCAGCTCTGCTGACCTCAGTTGCTCTCACACACAAGTGTGCCCTGCCTGCTGGAATGAAAACAAACGCCACTAAACGCCATTGTCCTGAGCACGGCATTTTCCTTTTGCCAACCATGAAGCTGTATACAACCAATTGCTTTTATTCAATACACCAAGAAAGCATCTTGCCTGGTAGGTAGTTACCTGCAGCAGTGAGTTTGACGGGGGAGATAAGGGGCGGGCTGTCATATCAGAGTCCAGTGAGAACTCAGACTTGGAATTTAACCGCTCACTAAGACTTCAGAGGATCGACATGGGGTGATTAACAGCAGGTTACAGAAGATACTACAAAAGCATCTACAAACTCAGGATAACCTAAAGGACATCTTTTGGGTGCCTGTACATGTCACAGAGCCCGGGGCTTTGGGTTACCACAGCGTTTCCTGGAAACTCTTATTTTGCCAAATATCTTGAATTCAGGCCCAAGCATCCTTCCGGTTCACAGCCAGATGGTGGGTTCAGTCCTGAAGGGAGTTCAGCTCTCCCATGTCCTTGCAGGAGGCTCAGACCAGGCAATATTTAAATTAAAAAAAAAAAGATAAACATCATTCTAGGCACATTCCGTGCCTCATCTCCAGGGCCCAGTTCCTGTTATCCATCAAGTCGGTTTTAAAATAGTCCACGTTTTTCAGTCCTGCAAAGTCAACAGTCCTGGAAAGTTGGCAGGTCCACTTGTTTAAACAAAGCTCCCAAGTTTTCTGCTGGCAGGTGTTTCCAGAGTTCTTGGAGCACAATTCTTTGGATAGGATATTTGCCAATATACATAGCAACAGGAAAAAAAAAAAAGTGTTTTCCTTTGCCACAGTGGAGGCACCAAAATGCCTTAGATGCAAAACTGGATATTTAGTTCAGGGGCTTATTTTGGCTCTAGGTCAAGGAATAAACGATCATAAAATCCATCATCTCTCTGTCCAGATCTGATGGGTTTCAGAGGGGAATAGGGCCACTTCTCAAATCGGCAGTGTGCGTACCCTAGCCATCTCTGCAGTTTGACGCAGTGAGTCTGGTCCTCCCCACTTGGCCAATCCCCCCAGACTCTGAAATGTCTGGTTCTCCAGCTTTCCAGCTAATTCTGCTTGAAATTGAGGCTGGGGATGGTGGGTCTGAAATTAATACAATGATGGTGAAGCAAGTAAGACTTCAGTCTTCCTCTGTTCACCCTTAAGCATTGATTTCAGTGAGTCTTAAATCCAGCTTTCCAAAATTGAAACCTGAAACTGCTTCAGAGCACATGACTAGTTTTATAATCTGCTCCTTGGCAGTCAGACTAACTTATGTTTGCTGCCATTAGATTCATTCCCTTAGTCATTCAATTAAACTTGACATTGGTGCTGGGACCCAACTAAAGAGAAATAATCCCTCAAATCTCACCCTGAACTGAATGAAAATAAATAGAAGATTTTTTGTTTTAAACACAAAACCGAAGTCTAAGAAGGGGAAATATGAGCGTGGAAGGGAAAGGTTCGGGGAACGAGTTTTTAAAATTCAAAGGAAGTCAAATGTAACGGGCTTAGAAGGTACTGAGTTTTAGGTCATTAAATTGTAACTCAATGAAAATTAAGAGTTTCAAATTCTGCCTACAAAAATTTAGAATATTAGGCATTACAAAAAGTTATTTTAAGTCATTTCTTCTTTTGTTACTTGCTAGTGGCAAATGTATTCAGTTTAAGTTCTTTCTTGCTGGTGTTAATTGGCCTTATCTTGGGGTCACTTGACACCTCTCTGTGTTACCCATTCGCTCCATCTCTCTCATATTATCTTGTTGTTTAGTATCTTTGGAGGCTTCTTTATAAATTTCAAAATGAAGATACATTTTTTTGGATGTTCTGGATTTAGAATGGGCCCTTTTGGCAAAGAGTCATGAATATAGCCTAGGATCTTATAAAATCCATCCGTTTTGGGGGGAAAAGAACCTGGACATTCAGTTGTCAAGGAGAAAGCTATTTTTTCTTCATGTTAACTGTGGCTACAAAAAAACCCCCACATTAATCAGACTCTGAGTTTTTAACCTCAGGGAGATGTCGGAAGGAATAACAATAGTTAAAAATACAGACTTTGAGAAGCATTATTTACAATAGCCAAGACATGGAAGCAACCATGGACAGATAACTGGATAAAGAAGCTGTGGTATAGTTATACAATGGAATACTATTTAGCCATAAAAAGAATGAAATCATTCCATTTGCAGCAACAAGGATGGACCTAGAGATTATCATTCTAAGTGAAGTAAGTCAGACAGAGAAAGACAAACATCGTATGATGTCACTTATACATGGAATCTAAAAAAAATGATACCAATGAACTTATTTACAAAATAGAAACAGACTCACAGACACAGAAAACAAACTTATCATTACCAAAGGGGAAAGGGAGGGAGGGATAAATGAAGAGTCTGGGATTAACAAATACACATTACTATATATAAAACAGTTAAACAACAAGGTCCTACTGTATAGTACAGAGAACTATATTCAATACCCTATAATAGCCTATAATGAAAAAGAATATGAAAAGGAAAATATGAAAAGGGACATATGTGTATATATATATATATATATAATATATATATAAAACTGAATCACTGTGCTGTACACCAGAGACTAACACAACATTGTAAATCAGCTATATTTCAATAAATATATATACAAATATAGACTTTGACCAGACAGACCTGAGTTCAAATTCTTGCTTTGCTACCTAGATGTAGGTGTTAAAAGACGCTCTTAAGGCAATGTTGGCACGGCCTCTACCTAGCTATGAGACCTGGACTGGCTTGTTAAACTCTCTGGGCTTTGCTTTCTCAGTGGTAAGTGGGCAACGTGAGGGGATATATTTGGGAAATTCCAGTAAAGTAATACGGCCAGTGCAGGG